ATCACCCTCATGCTTTGACCCCACCAGTGGAGAGTGATGTTGGAACATCACTCGGCCCCAGCACAGAACTGGAGCCTCAGAGACTTGAGCATGAGGGTAGTACTGGGGATGCCCAGGAGGCCGGGACGCATCCGGCGCCAGCCAGAGAGACTGCAGGATTTTGTTATGGGATGAGGGTTGTGGGGACACTTAACCCTCTTGGGAAGGGGTTGTGTGACGATCCATGTCAGCCATTGGGGGGTCTGGTGGCAGCTGCATGATGCAGAGGTGCATCATGGGAGTTCAGTAAATAGTAGAGAGAGCAGTTATAAAATTATAGTTAAGGTGTTCTTATGTGTTACCCCATTGTTGTTATGTGTTAGTGTTGCTGACTTATGCTGGTGTGTTATCTGACGATGTTTTACTAAGTTAATTGCTGTGCTGTGTTTTGGACCGTCCGTTTGGCTTGTATGTGTGAGACTGACCCTGGGGGAAGTGCCATTGTTCAGGGGTTCTAAATAAATGACAGAGAAAGCAGTGTTGCACTGTGGTCATTGTAAAAGGACACGCCTAGGCAATATCCAGAGTTGTGTGGTGTATGAGGCCTGGAATAATCGCTAACCAAGATCAGCATAGGTGCTAGCGCCCTGCTAGCTAGTTTAGCTGTACCAGTGTAGCTAGTCTCTCTCCTCCACGCCAGGGGTCATTACAATATGTTAGCGTGTGTATTGGTTCGCTGGACCACCATGGGTGAGCCCCCAGTGAGAGAGCCGGCCGGCTAGTAGTTGGCCTATATCAGTCTGGATATCTATTTGGCTTCTTGTTTGTCTATGAGTGTTTTTAACTGATATTATATTGCCATGTTTTTGTTGTTGTAGCACTTTGTGCTCCTGAGCTAGAAAGTGCGGTGCAAATACAGTTTATTATTATTATTTAGAAATTTCGTTCAACTTAGTGTTGCGTTGTGCGTGCAGGAAAACGGAGCTCAGAGTGTTCGGTAAGGCCCAGAGCTTTTATTTAAGAAAAACGGTTTGTATTAATGGTTATTTAACTCCTCATCGTTTGCTTCCTCCTGCTACAGCTCTGTGACAGACGCTGAAATAGCACAAGCAGCGTGTTTGTGGCAGCTCGGCTGCATTGCAGAAGTGAGTGTCGCTATTTATGTGCTTCAGAGAAAAGTCAATCAAATATAGGTAAATTATGCTTGATAATTGAATATGCTTAAAGGAAATACAACAGCCTACATCACAACTTTCTATTAATGGGTTTTAATTTAATTATTGTTTCGCAAAAACATTTGGTAGTTGTCAAAACAGCGGCCTCAGATTGCTTCCTAGTCAGGATGGTGATCCCCCTTGACAGCCTTGTATAAATGGGGAAAAATAAGGGGACAAGGGGATGGGTATATTTAAGATAAGATTTCACTTAAGTATGTTGAGCCAAACAGACTTCATCAGAGGAAACTTGGCCTTTTACAAGCTCCAGTAGAAGTCGGGTAGGAAGAGAAGCTGATGTTGATTCTTCAGAGAATCATCACACTGCATTTCGACAAGTTCTAATTGCAGACTCTCTTCCACTTCTACATCCATCAGGAAGGGAGTTGAGAAAAGCTTGATTACTTTCTCAATAACAGAAAAGTCTTAGAAACACTGACTGAAATCTGTCATACGAAATGTGATCACAGACACATATTTCCCCTTTTTGGCAGAAAGGTTGGTCTTTGGAAAAGCACATTTGATTTCAGACAGCGTAGGAAAGTCTGCAGCATTGAAGTTTCAT